TGAGGTTGCCCTTTTTCTAGACCTTTACTAAATTCGGATATAAGTTTCTTGTCATTTGTGGTATGTTAAACCGTTGTACATTTGAGAGAGCGCTATTTGTTGCCAAGATGAATGAATTTAATTAAATATTATTTTTACCAAGAAATCAGGCTCTAAATTAGGTATATATATATCTGCATCAAGATTATTGGTTCTGTGTCATATATACGGATATTGCTGCTTAGAAAATTTCAATTCTATAATTAAATTTAATGCACTGTATTAAAATCTTTTGGAGATAATTGAAGATCGTGACAATCGTGACAATATATGTCAAAGTCAAGATCACATTACAGTTGAATTCCCTATATGTCACTAATTATCGAAATTCGGGAGATGTACATTAGGGTATCTATTCTGGTAAAAAAAAATACTTGAAAACTCTCTGATCTTCCAGGTATTTTTGTTCAGAATTTCAAATAAAGAAGATATTTTAAAGATTTTTTGATGCAACTTTCTAAAATAAATTTTTTATTGTATACGTTTTCTAATGTGTTCATTCATAAGAAAAAAAAAACAGCCTCTTAAGTTTCAAGTGCTAGATTTGTAAACATACTGAAAAAAACTGAATAACTTTCATAAAATAAGCATTTTTCAATTGCATAAAATACATTTGCAATAAAGAATATGTACTTCATATATTTAAACAAAAAAATAGATATATACGGTGTCTAAACGTCAAAACTTCGGGAGCGTGTGGGGGATCGATAAACTAAGACAAAAAGTCCTTTAGAGATTTGCTCATTTTTTATTCGTTTTGAAGAAAATCGCAAAAATGAAACAAGAAATTTTCACCAAAAAACTTAAAACGACACTAAAATTATAAAAAATCTATTAATGGGATATATTGGCAATAAGAGCCCAGCGCAGTATTAGAGGCGCATAAAAGTATATTACAGAAATAACTCAATGTTACATAAATAAACGTAAAGCGGACGTTTCGGCTAATCTTTTAGCCATCCTCAGCGCAACAAATTAAATTAAAATTAACCGGAAAATAGACCACATCGCAAATTCATAAACAATCATCCGCAAATTGTTAAAAAAGCATAACGGGATCTCTCACATCTTCAGTTCGATCGCATCACTGTTGTCGTTGGGATGGTCAGCTACTCGATTAGTAGGTTGTAAGTTGAATCCAGTCAACGTACAAGCATGCCGGAACAATACATTTCCGATAAAGCCTGTAAATAATCGGCGCGGTTTCTTTAAAACGATCTAATGTGAGAGAACGCGCACGGACACAATATTCAACACCGACTTACACGTAAGAGAACCACCGGACTTCATTGCACTGGGTTAAAAAATTGCTCGAATTTTAAAATTTAACTTTACATTTATTCAAAAATAAAAACGAATAATTTTAAAAGATAGAATTTAATAATGAATCATCTAATTCAATTTAATAATATGTTATTATAAAATAAACTTGCTTAAGATCTAATATGGTTGTGTGTAAATGTGTGTATGTGGATGAAAATTGAGTTCTCGCGGGTGTTACAAAAATACGAAGGACGTCAACCGGAAATAAACGGGGAAACTAAAATTTAAACTCCGGTTGGTAATTTACAATAATATGTTTAGAAAAATTATTTACAATAAATGTGTGAGGGTTGGACGGTAGAAGGAGAGAAGAGAAGAAAAAAAAAGAAAAAGGGGGGAGGATTATTAAAGGTCTTGGAATTGCACGGTGGAGGGGGAAGGGAACTTCATCCAAAAAACCTCGATGGGGACGGCTAATGGAAAAGGGCAACCCGGGCCAAAAAATGGAATTATGGAACCGGGGTGACTGGTATGGAGGATATGGTAGAATTGATCGAGGTCTACTATATCTGGACCGACACAGTAATCCTCATCTGTAAGAGGGACAGGATAAGGGGGGAATTGATTTAGGAGATACCTGTACCAGGCTTCCCTGTCCTGGTCTTCGAAAAGGGACCCCGACTCTCCTTCGGGAGTACGTTATTTGTTTATCGCAAATACGTTGTTTGTACGTTATTTGTTTATCGCAAATACGTTGTAACTTTTAAACTATTTAACTACAAACGAAATCAAAATCACTACAAACAACTACAAACGATTCTAAAACACATGGCGAAAGCGGATTTGAGATATCTTAAAGTCGGGTGATTGTCATTTTTTAAAAATTTTTTATTTATTTATGGATCGAACTACAAACGAAAATATTTTTACTACAAACAACTACAAACGAAATACTATCATTTTCTGTATTGAAAACTTTATTTATTAAAAGTGGGTTGCCAACTTCACATAGGTATTTAATTTTACTTCAAGAGGATTTTAATTCACTCTCTTTTCTTAATTCCATGCTCTACAATTTTTATTTCATGGTACTTTTGGATAAACCTAATAATTTTAGCGTTGTTTTAAGTTTTTTGGTGAAAATTATTTGTTTCATTTTAGTTCCGTTTCCGGTGAAAGAAGGTGTACAGTAGGAGTGAAGGGAGAGAGGAAGGAGCGGGGGAGGATGAATGAGAAGGGCTAAAGAAGAGGAACAAGGAGGAGTATGGGAAGGAATAGGCGAGGAGAGACTACAAAAAGGGAAGGAAGGAAAGGAAAAAGGAATTGGAGGTTAGGAAGAAGAAGAGAGAGAGAGAGAGAGAGTGAGAGAGGAAAAGGATGAAGAAGAGCACGTGGTAAGTGACGGTGAGAAAATTGGGAGAATGAACGGACAGAGAGTAGACCGATAAGGAAGATGAAAGAGTGGATAATACAGATCGTTACCATAAAGAGAGGAGAAGGAACGGCGGAGGAAGACGTAGGAGGCAAGATAGGGGGAGCGGAAGGATCGAGCATGCGGAGGAAAGAGAGCAGACAGAAGTGTGGCACAACTCAAGAAAGGGTTAAGAATTTAGAAAAGTGATAGTGAAAGAGCAAAAGAGACAGGAAAGATCGGACAAGGAAGGTGAAAAGGAGGAAGCATGGTGTGAGGTGGCGCGGGTTAATGGAAGTGGATCGAGCACATGGTGGTTTGACACGGAAACGGGAGTCAAAGGGGGAAGAGAGGAACGGCGAAAGAAAGACCAGGCGAATCGGAAGCGGGTAGTGAGAGTAGGAGAGGAGGAAGTGGCGTGGAAGTTAAAGAGAAAAGCGCACGGCGGTGAAGAAGAGAGAAGAGAAGGAGAGATCAAGGGAAAAGGAGAAGGAAGAAAGAGACAACAGTGCACAGGAAAGGATGGATGAAGGAGCTACTGGAAGAAGTGAGAGGTATAAAGGAAGAATCTGAAACCAAGGAGGGTAGAGAAAGGGAGAGGAAGGTGAAAATAACAGAGGAGGAGAACAACGACAGCAGTGGAGGAGAACGAGGAGAGAAGGGGGAGCGGTGAGAAGGAGAGAAAGCATAGTGGCCGGGTAAAGAGGAGAGAAGAGGAGGAAAGGAGATGCAGGAAAAGGAGGCGCGAGGAGTTGACAGGACGGAGAGTAAGGAAGGAAATCCTGGTGGGACTTGGAAAAGAGAAGAAGAGAAGGAAGAGAGAAAGGGAGAGGAGAGAGTGAGAGGAGGAGAAGGGAGAATGTCGAGAGAAAAGGAGGCAAGGGAAGAGAGAAGAAGAGGAGGAAAGAGCGAAGAAGAAGGATAGAAGAGAGCACAGAGGAAGAGAGAAAAGGAAGGTGCGCGGTGGTAAATAATAGGAGACTATAGGTTGATGGGAAAGAGGGGAAGTGGGATGAGGAAAGAAAGATAAGGTGGGGGAGAGAGAGACTGGAGGAAGTTATGGGTAGATGGTAGGGAATGGGAGTGGGATGAGGAGAAAAAGGTATGGTGGGAGAAGAAAGGAAGGTAAAATTAAGTGAGCGAGAAGATACAGACTGTAGAAAGTAGGTGGGTGAAGATGAGAGTTGTATGGAAAATTGTAACCCCTTTGGGGAATCAATAAAGAACATTATATATTATATATTTGTTTCATTTTCTTCAAAACGAAGCAAAAACGAGCAAATCTTTAAAGGACTTTTTTTCTTAGTTTATCGGTCCCCTACACGCTTCCAAAGTTTTGACGTTTAAATTGGAGACACCTTGTATATTTATAATATACACGGTGTTTCCGGGTTAAATGGCCAAACTTGAAATATGAATTTAGGACCTTAAAACAAGAAAAAATTTTCCTCAGGAAGTATGCTCGCAAACGCTTTGTTCAAGAGATATTGACTTCTGAAGTTATGAACTATAGAAACGAATAATTTCGAAATAATCTAGGTTTATTCTATTTATTGCACAATAATCAAAATTTAATAATTAAATGTTTTGTTCAAAATGATGGCCTCCAGCTCGGAGTTATTTTGAAGATCGAAGGTCATTGACAAGTTTATGAAGTGCCTATTAATGACCTTCAATCACTAAAACGGAGGATAGTGCAAGCTTGCGAAGAAATGACAAATGTACAATGTCAATCAGCCACTCATTCTGTCATCGATAGGTGCAATGCTTGTCTCCGAGCTGGAGGCCATCATTTTGAACAAAACATTTAATTATTAAATTTTGATTATTGTGCAATAAATAGAATAAACCTAGATTATTTCGAAATTATTCGTTCCTATAGTTCATAACTTCAGAAGTCAATATCTCTTGAACAAAGCGTTTGCGAGCATACTTCCAAAGGAAAATTTTTTCTTGTTTTAAGGTCCTAAATTCATATTTCAAGTTTGACCATTTAACCCGGGAACACCCTGTATATTTAAAACACATAATTCACTTGGTTCGTCGACTTTACGATATAAGAGCAAAATCATTTTAAAAAAACTTTTTTTTTAAATTATCTGACGTGAGAGTCCTAATATATAAAATTTCATAAAAATTTCTTGATTTTTCCAGATACAAAAGAAATCCTTGAGAATTTCAGGTTTTTCATGTTTTTCTAGAGATTTATAAACACCCTGTTTATAATTGCGCGCTGAGATGTAATATTTTTAATAAAACAATATATAGATTACGTTTCATATCTTACTCTTTCCAAAAGTCCAGAAATGCATTCATCTCGACGGTTCCTTTCTGGTCACCACCCGCTGCCAAAAAAAGTGGTACTTTCCAGTATAAGGGCAAGTCACAAGCCTAAGTAATAGAGAAAAAGAACCAATAGAATGATAAAATATTGAATATTACCTGATAACCTTGCCGATTTCAATGATCTTGAAGTATACTATAAAGAAAAGGTCTCTTACCAAACATTAAATGTTGCTCACACCTAATCTAACCTCTATTTTTAAAGTTATAAATATCAGAACCCATCCTATATTTTGATGCTTCGGATATGAAACAGGGTTTAAAAATATACTTTATGTAGATTTTTGGCTTTCTATACAAAGCAAGGTCCATCGCACACCACCTAATACTTCAAATGCAAAACAAGATTCTAAAATTTACAATTTCGAATTGACTTTCGTTTTTTCAAGCAAAGTGAAATTTATATTGTCTGCTGCTTAAGATGTAAAACAAGATCTAAAAATATTTAATTATATTTTCTTTTTTTTATTTTCTATATCAATAAGAACAATAGAAATAAATAAATAATATATATATATATATATATATATATATATATATATATATACATATCTCAAATGATATCTATAAATTATATTTTATATATATACAAGGCTCAAATGATTAAAAATTCAAACAAAGATAAAGATTATGTACAGCCAAAACACTGTCGTTAGTGCGCAAATCAACACAATTACCAAATCCTTTATTTTAACAATATTCTGTCAAACATTTCGATCACTCTTGGTCCTTTTCCATGACACAGAAATGTAAATAATTGTCAAGAAAATCACGATATATATGCAAATAATATATACAAATAGTCAACAAGTCAAAAAAGAAAGAAGAATCACCAAAAGGGAATATTAAGGAACTTTAATTTGAAATTTGATTGCAACTGCAAATGTTGTGTATGTCAAGTTTTAAGATTCCGATTTAATCTTTATACATTTATATCCATGCTGAAGATGGACCCAAAAGCGGCCCAAAACGTACATTTTTAATGCACATTAGTTAATAAAATTTAACATAATAATAATAATAAGTTCGCGCACCCAAACCCCGCCTTGGCTCTTATCTGCCAGTTTTCCCATTTAATTGAACTTTAAAAAATAATAGAAAATAGCTTGCCATCCGTTAATGCTAAATCAGTTCGAGATTCCGTCATAGGACTGCTATACGGGGTGTCTGGTAAAGATTGTGCCAACGCTCATGAGCGGATAGAGCACAGTAAACTGAACAGAAAAGTCCTTTACCATTTTGCAATTTTCATAATAATTATTGAGAAATTAATTTTAAAAAATCCACCAACTTGTGTGAGTATAAGCGCGCAGTAAAAAGGGACAAACCATTGATCTGTGGTTGCTAGGACGTGAGAATCCATCGTTATGTACCGCTCGTACGTAACCATTGGCCGCATTCAGCAGAGAAAGCGCTCAGTTATCGTTTGGTCAACACTTGACGTTGATTCGTTGGTTCTAAAAGTAAGAACCAATCACATTCGATTGCTACTAAGCGGTTTTCTCTGCTGAACGCGGCCATTGTCATTTGTAGAGCGCTCCTCCCAAAACTTCCTCGCGCGCCTAGCGACCGTAAACTTTTGGGATGTCTCTGGGTCGTCCTATCTCGCCACGCGCTTATAGTCACGCGAATTGGTCGATCTTTTTTAATTAATTTCTCAATAATTATTACGAAAATCGCAAAATGGTAAAGGACTTTTCTGGGCATTACACAGGAATGTAAACTACAGTTCTCTCACAGGGATTCACACTTTCAACACTGTAAAAAATATAGCTCCAGCAAGGATCGAAAATATGTGCAGATAACATAATGGAGAATTGCAACCAAACAAGCACCAAGAAATTGAAAAGCGTACAGAGTCAGATAAAATTTTTAAATTAGGAACGGCAAGTAATCTAAACAAAAGAAAAAGAATACTATATACATATATATGTGTGTTTTATATATGTCATGACTTTCTTGGCAATTAATTACACTTCTTATCATGGAAAAAGATCACAGTGTGATCGAAACATTTGATAAAACATTGTTAAAATAAAAATTCTGGATTGTGTTGATTAGCGCACTAACAACAGCGTTTTGACTTTACATAATCTTTATTTTTGTATTGTATGAATATGGGATCACGTCGCTTTAAAAAGTTGTTGCGTAAAAAGTTAAAAACAGAATGAAGACTATATGTTTTTAAACATTTCGCATTCAATGGGCAATGGACTTCGTTTTGCGTTGAAAATCGAAAACCTATGCGAAACTATCCATTTTTAGACTTAGTTTATTAACTTTGCTAACAACTTTGTAATAAACTAGCGATGATTTTTAAATCTTGCTCAGAACTATATTGATCACATACTTTAAAATTATTGAAATCGGTAGTGAGAGAATTTGTAAGAGAAAGAGAAAGAGAGAGAGAGAGAGAGAGAGAGAAGAAAAAGAAAGAAAAGAGAATGAGAGAGAGAGAGAGAGTTCTTTAATTTTACCGTTTAAAAATTATATTGCTGTAAAATGTATTAAATAAATACATATATGTATACAATATAAGATTATTAATATTATCATTTTGTTAGAATTAATATTAAATTTATAAATAGTAGGAGAATTTTACAGAATAAAAATGAATAAAAACTTACATATAATGAATCACATATAATGATTACAATTTTTTTCTCTATAGATAGAGTCGCGTTTCTAATTGTAAGATACAAAGTTTATTTCTGTTTTATCAAATAAAATATTATATAGGGTGAGATTTGATAAAAAGTTCACCACATTTTTCTCGAAAACGGTTAGAGGTTAGAGAAGACGCCCATTATCAAAATTGTAAAACAAGTAGGAAGACATACTATGGTGACCTTGAGTAACTTTGAGTGACTTGGCTTTTCACACTACAAACTAAAATTTCTTTTTTTTACAGAAAGGGGTACTTTTGAATCTTTCCACCGATAGTATTCAATGAGTTTAATAATTTTTATATCAGAGCATCTTTTCGAAAAAGTCAACTGTTGTCGGGACATTATTTACAAAATTAAAAGTCAGAATGAAAGTTTGAAACAGATCTGTTTCATCTTTAATATATCAGATGGTTAACATATCAAAAGTTTTGTCATTAAAATATAACATTTTTAAAATTGGATGATCACTAAGGCCCTTATTCTGAGCTCACATTTATCGGCATATTTAGAGTGCCACATTTAGAAGCGCAGATAAATGTACTAGTAACACGACTAAAGTCAGTCGTATTCTCATTGCACATTTATCATCGCCTAAAAACTTAGAGGTACATTTATAACTACCATGTTGTGTATCATGCTTATTACGCGCATACGACACTGTGATTGGCCATCAAACAGTTCATTATATCACGCGCCATAAGTTAAATTAGTAAAGTTTATTTCTTTTTTTCAACGTCACTGCAACACAAAATGCAAACGCGCATATAATTGTAACAACATTTTTTAATTAACCGATATTTTTGTCGGAACTCACGATCATTATAAATTTCAAAAGTTTATTCTATTTCGACACATTTAGCGATAAATATAAGCTCGGAATATGGGCCTAAATATTGAAACTACCCAAATACGAAAAAAGTCTTTGTTCGCAATGTTATTTGTGGACTTATCGATTGTACAATTACAATTTAAATATGATAATCACAGAATGTGTATTGGTATTTCTATTAATATGATTTCTGTGTTTAGATATTCTTGCTTTCAGTTGTCTACCAGTTTGACCTATATATGAGGCATTGCAATCTCAGCATGGTACCTTGTAAACAATTGTTGTGGTTATTATTTGGCAAGAAATCTTTATGCGTTTTGATAAAACAATTTAGTTTTGAAATGCCTGAATGATGATATCATTTCAAAGTCACAGTTTGTCTAAATTCCCAGTAAGCAAAATGCGCGCAATATGCCAGCAGATTGGCAATAGATTTCCTCAGCTCTTGCTAGCAATTTGGCATCTGTTATGTCCGCATTAGGATAATGATCTGCCAGCAGAGCCTGTTCACAGAATCTGAGAGCAGATTGGCAGCAGAAACGGAGCAGGATCTGCTAACATGATTTGACATCAGATTGATGGCAAAAACCGAGCAGGATCTGCGCGCGCGCAATCTGACGGCAGATTGGTAGCAGAAACCGAGCAGAATCTGCAGCTTTTGGCCATTCATATAAAATGGTGCATTTAAATGAATTTAAAAGATCTCAATCCTAAATGGCAAAATGACGGTGAATTTTGGTCACAAAATGATCAATTAGATGTCCTAAGCTAGGTCTCATGAAACCCGAAAATGACGTTAATAGTTGATATGTCACATTCACGAAACGTCATTTTCTGAAATTTGTATTTATAACATATAAATATACATATAATATTAATAACATATATTAATGTAATATATATAGAAAAATTTAAATAATTTGTAAAATAAAAGATTTATATATGGAATTTAATTTTTATTTTATATCTAAGTAGATAATAACGATTTTCATTTATTCGGACAATTTCTGTCCGAATAAGTGAAAATCGGACATTTATCTGTCCGATTTTCCAAAAATCAGTTTAATATCTGAATTCCCTTGTGTGGGAATCGTATCAGAAATTAAACTGATAGAAATAATTACAATGTCATTAACCGCATTTTGCAGGCTTTATATACGCTCATGACAAGAACTTGAATACGGGTATAGAAAGTAAATCGTGCGCCGCATAGCGGTAAGCAAATAAACTATACTATTTCAATAAATTATATAAATGGCTAAAAGCTGCAAATTCTGCTCGGTTTCTGCTGCTAATTTGCCGTCAGATTGCGCGCGCACAGGTCTTGCTTGGTTTCTGCTGACAATCTGACGTCAAGTCAAGTTAGCAGATCCTGCTCGATTTCTACTACCAATCTGCCGTCAAATTGCACGCGCGCAAATCCTGCTCGGTTTTTGCTATCAATCTACCATCAGATTGCGCGCGCGGAGATCTTGCTCGGTTTTTGCCACCGATCTGACGTCAAGTCATGTTAGCAAATCCTGCTCGTTTTCTGCTGTCAGAATCTGTGAGCATACTCTGCTTTGTTTTTGGCACCAATCTGTCGATTTAATCTGTAATAAAAACTTCTGTACCAAGTTTGTATCCTTTTTGTTAACAATAGTTGATAGCAGGTACTTGGTATGATCTGCTTTCGATAGACTTGGCTATCTGGGTTGATCAGAAATCAAACGTATATGTATAAGGAATCATAAAATAAGAAACAGAATTGACATTGTCACAGTGATGCCAGTTTCGAGACGCTGCCCGCTACCATAGCATGTAGGGGGATACGCACACAAGCGTGAACCGTGTTTACATGTACACGGTTCACGCTTGTGTGCGTATCCCCCCTACATGCTATGGTAGCGGGCAGCGTCTCGAAACTAGAATCACTGCATTATCATTATCATTGTCATTGCCAACCCTGGGATTTCCACAAGTATTAAAGAATTGCGTTTTTAGTCGATCTCTTATAATCTTAAAAATGTACTGCAAAAAACCGTTGTCTAAAAAAATATTTACGATAAATTCTAAATCTTTTGGATAATATCTCGGATTGGAAAGTAAAAAGAGTACTTAGACTTATAATTGTACTTCTCTTCTGACACAAAGAGTAAATTAAAATTTAGGTATCTTCTAGAAAATGTTAGCTTATGATAACAATTAAAATGGATCATGTTGTTTATCATCAAAATTGTTACATCTAAAAGAATTGACTGTTGTCAGCTCCAATCTCCATTGTAAACTGCAGATTTGGATGAAATAAATTTAAAATATTCAGTGTTTCTTTTAATATTAAAGAAGGAACCGCTAAAGCCACACTATTCACATACCGCAAATAAAAAAAAATAATGAGGAAAATACAAATTGCTTTTTTCTCTGAATTATGCAGAACGATATTAGAAATAATGAGTAATAAAAGCGAGCCCATCGATGTACCAAAAATTTGTTTATAGTAAGTTCCATTAAAGATAAAATGGTAATTATTCAGAATCACGGCTCCACCTGTAACTGGGCTGCAATTTTTTTTACGGACTTTTGATGTTTAGAAAGAAATATAAATAACCATTTTTAGTTGGGGGAGGCCCAAAAAAAAGTTATAGACCAAAAAAGGGTAATTATTTCGAATTAGGTCTTTTCTGAATTTTGACAAATATGATCGGATCTCTCGGTAAAACTCTTTGTTGTGACTCCAACAGTGATAATCAATCGGGGGAGCCCGTCCCCCATCATCCCCGCCCTCCAAAAAACGAAAAACCCCCAAAATTACCGAAAATTAGGTAATTATGTACTATAAAGTTCATCCCACAACCCAAACCAAATTTCAGTTTTAAATCAGAAATAGGTTTGGGTTAGGTTATATCTTCCGGCAGTGGAGCCCCCCCGTAGGGGGGGGGGGGCGGAACCCACTGCGTGAGGGAGAGACATTTCCCATTTACACAACAATTGTGGGATGGACCTCGCTTTGTTTTGTAAACTATATGCGTGGACACAGTGGGTTAGGTTGGTTCGAAACAAAGTACTTTAAAAAACGTTGAGAATGCTAATATCATAAGAAGAAAACAAATATACAAGGAATATTACAACCAATTTAATAAAAGAGAAGAATCAATTACTAGAGAGAAAAGAGGGCTAGCGATCCGTCAATGTAATAAAAATCCGGTAGATGAAAGACCAAATAACAGCAATATCGTAAACACTGAAAGTCCAGAGATGTACCTTAATGGAGAAGATAATGAGGCTTTAATGATACAATTTATAAGTAGTTTAAAATCATCACAAGATTTTAAAAAATTAATGATGAATTTTTTTCAAAATTTAAGTAATCCTGCACAACTTGACATAGTGGAACAGATGGAAGCTGAAGAGGTAATAGTCAATAACGAAGAATTGAGAAGAAGAGAGCGAGAATTCCAGGAAGAGCTGAATAGAGCAAAGAACATGGTATCAGAGATCAAGAAAAAATATTGGAATAATAGAGATGATTAGGAGTTTCACTCGGTTTTTGTATTTGTTTTTATCTATCTATTTCTCAGTTAGATATTTACCTGTTTACCTATCTATATATATATTTATTCATTTGTTCATGTATCTATATATCTATTTATTTTGGTTTTTGTTATTGGTTTTGTTTCAGTTTCTAACTATTTACTACTTAGTCAATCATCGATTTTTATTTATTTATCGATTTATCGTACATGTCTATTTATTTATTTATTTATGTATTTTGATTTTTGATCTTTATTTTTGGTTATTTATTATTGTTTTTATTTATTTATCGTCTTCATTTACATGTCTATTTATTTATTTATTTATGTATTTTGATTTTTGATCTTTATTTTTGGTTATTTATTATTGTTCTTTTGTTGTTTTTTGGTTAATTGTTTCTATATATAATTAAATTCTTAAATTGTATTATAAATTCAATATGACAAACTTACTATTATGGAATGCTAGGGGAATATCAAACAAGAGAGCAGAAATAGAACAACATATTAATAATTTTGATGTCAGTATTATAACCGAAACCAAAATAAGCTGTAACAAAGACATATACTTCTCTGGGTACAAGGTAGTTAAGAGTTTAAATCGGGAAAATTCTGGAGGCATCGCTATTATTATTAAAAAAGATATAGATTTCGATACCATAGAGCCATGGATTTTAAAATCCAATAATATCGAAGCTATAGGAATAAGAGTCAAAAATACCTCGATTAAATTTAACTTAATAGCAGTTTACAGAAAACCGTACGACATAGAGCCAAAATCAGCTTGGGATGATATTCTCAAATTTAGAGGCCATGAGGCAAATTCCATTATAGCAGGTGATTTCAATGCATACCATAGTGGCTGGAACTGTAGCAACATTGATAGAAATGGTGAAAACCTTTATTCGACTATGTATAATAACGGATATATATGTATGAATAACGACACTAAATCCAGGATTGGTTATAATAATCAAACGGCATCTAATCTTGATTTAATTTTCGCTAACAACGATTTAATTGATATTATAGATTATCAACAAAATGAGGATTCGTGGGAATCCGACCATTACCCTATAAAAATTAACATAGATATATATACATAACGATATCAAAAATGTACTAATAGAAAATCTTCAGTTAAAACGAATTAGGACGAATGCACATGGCGCGTAGACGAGGAAATGAGACACAAGAACCTCAACAACATTAATTTTGCCAACTCGTCAATGGAAATAGAATATAATAGATTCATACAATCATTGACGACAGCGATACATACGGCATCTGGTAAACGATTAATTGAAGACCCAGAAAATATATTAGGTGTACAAATAAGTTTCCGCCGTTTGACAAAAGTTGGCGCCACCAGTAAGTTATGGTTAAAACTGTCAGATGTAAAACGTCCTTATCGTAAGATTGGACATCAGTCAATAACATAACCTTAAAACATTAGTGATTTTTTATCAGAATAATATATTCTTTTGTGTGCGAAAATGTCAAGTTTTGAGCCGAATAAGCGTCATTTGCGGGAACTTTTGATTTACTTCTTCAATTTGAAGAAATCTGCAGCTGAGGCGTATCGATTGCTTGTAGAAGCATATGGTGAGGCTGCCTTAAGTGAGAGAAGTTGTCATGAGTGGTTTCAAAAGTTTAAGAACGGTGAATTTGACATCGAAGACAAAGAACGTAGCGGAAGACCGAAAGTGTATGAAGACGCGGAATTGGAAGCATTATTGGATCAAGATTCATGCCAAACGCAAGAAGAACTTGCACTTACATTGGGAGTGACTCAACAAGCAATTTCACATCGGTTGAAATCATTGGGATTGATTCAAAAACAAGGAAATTGGGTTCCATATGAACTGACGCCGAGAAACGTTGAACGCCGATTGTTCACATGTGAAATGCTGTTTGCCAGGCATAAACGAAAGGGTTTTCTGCACCGTATAGTCACTGGTAATGAAAAATGGATCCACTATGATAATCCAAAAAGGAAGAAATCATGGGGACCACCTGGCCATGCTTCAACATCTACAGCTAAGCCAAATATTCATGGAAAAAAACTCTTGTTATGCATTTGGTGGGATCAGCTTGGTGTCGTGTATTATGAGTTGCTCAAACCGAACGAAACCATTACTGGAGCTGTCTACCGAACACAATTGATGAGATTGAGTCGAGCACTCAAGGAAAAGCGCGCCCACTACTCCAGACACGACAAAGTTATTCTCCTGCATGATAATGCTCGTCCACATGTTGCGGCGCCGGTCAAAACCTATTTGGAAACACTCAATTGGGAAATTTTACCCCACCCGCTAGTGTCTTCACCAGACATTGCTCCTTCTGATTTCCACATGTTTAGATCGATGGCGCATGGCCTGTCTGAGCAACACTTCACATCATATGAAGATACCAAAAATTGGGTCGATTCGTGGATAGCCTCAAAAGATGAAGCATTCTTCCGACGCGGTATCCGTATGCTGCCAGAAAGATGGGAAAAAGTAGTGGCAAGCGATGGACAATACTTCAAATAAAACATTAGGTTCCGTTCTTTCACAATAAATGCCCAATTTTTGATAAAAAACGGCGGAAACTTATTTGTACACCTAATAATATTATTGTTGTGTTTGTTTTTCATTGTCGCATAAGTGCAATATCAAGAAAAAAGAAATAAGCTTTTGTTGTAGGATTTTGGAAAATTGAAAGCAAATTATTTGCAGCACGAACGTTCTCAGATATTTGTTCCATCAAAAAATTTCCTAATACATCCCACATTTCTAAAATTCTTTGAATGCATTTGTAACGTGTTAACCAACGTGTTTCTGAATATTTTAAAATATTCAAAGATTTATCTTTGAAGCACATCTAGAAATTTCGGAAAATAGCAGTTCTGTTTGGATTGCTGTTAATAAATTGTGGAAATGCCTTTAATAAAATGCTCACAATGTTGAGGAATTGTTTTATATAATGAACCGTGTTATCATAGGAGATTCACGTCGGAAATGTTACTTATAAAAAAAACAGAGAATTAGTTTGAACTTGCAGAGCGAATTATCGGATCATTAAATTCTTCCTATTTTCCCATCATTAAAAACCTAAAAAAGTTTTAAATTAACCGGCACTGATAATTTGTTTTTCTCATCATGATCGTGTTTGCCTTGTTGTTCTTATTTCATTGTATTTTGTTTATTTTCTCCGTCCGCGCGACAGTTTAAGGCATATCATGTAATGTCACGGTTGTGTTTTTCCGTTGAGCTTCCGATCTTTATTTTAATAGATCCTTCATCGGTAAGTCGTGATATATTGGTTTTTATTTTTATTCGATATTATTCCATCACTGTTATAATCAAATAATTTTTCTAAACGGCTCAATTAATTTTAATTGTCTTTTCTGCCGCAAATTGATACATCTCTGTGGATAATAAATTTGAATTTCTGAGGTGTCTTTGAAGAAATTAATATACTATTAATATAATTATAAGACTTTTAAATA